GACGTACACACTCCTGGTAGTGGATTACTCTCAGTAAAGGAAAGTTTTCATTTTTTTTTACTTTTGTGTTTTTTTTCTAATCTCCCATCCCCTCTTTTTTTGCTTTTGGGGGCAATCACTGTGGACGTTTTTCTTTTCTACTCTTCCCTCTTTAATTGTTTCTTCCGCACTCTTCCTGTGAGGGGTGCCGTGTGTTCCCGCCCAACTGCTCCACTCGCACACCACCGACACGCTCATGACGACGGCCCTGTGCGCCTCGCCTGCTGCACGCATGAGGAGGGGCCGCGACGAACGGCGCGCTGAGGGAGCCGTGACGTGTGGGCGTGCGACGAGGGCCTGTGGGGCGGAGCACACATTTCTTTCCCTCCTGTTTTGTTTTGTTTTTGCGGTCAGGGCGGGCAGACACCCGCAGCGCCACACACACAGCCACACCCTGCCGCCGTGTTTTTAGGATTTCTTTTTTGTGTGAATGGTGTGTGCTGCTACCGTGCGTGATTGTTGAGGTCTGTGCGTACCGCATGTATTGCTGTCATCCAGCTGTGCCTATTGCTCTGTTGATGTGCCTCCCTGTGCTCCTCCTCTTCTTTTCTGCTCCTCCAGCACAAACACACATAAGTACTTGCACAGTGCTCTGTAATGTTTTGGCGACGGTAGGGACGTTGGCTTGCGTCCCGTGCTGAAATGGCGACGCGGCTGCACGATGCCCGCCATGCGTGAAGGTGTTGACTGCTCTTGGGGCATTCTTCACTCCTCGTTGTTTTTGCTCTGCCGGTGCGTGCGTTGCTCGGTGTGTGCTGACGCGTGACGGACGGTGCCACGATGGCCTCCTCTGACGATGACAGTCGCTGTGCTCTCGGCACACATCCACACACTCTTCCCTGTCTCTCTGTGGGAGTGATGGCAGTACGACCGCGGTCTACGGCAGTGAATAACGGTGCAGCGGAGAACGAGGACGAGGCGCCGAGGGAGAAGAAGAAGCCGAACCCGCTGGACGAACTGCCGCCGAGCCCTTTCGTGCTGGACGCATTCAAGCGCGAGTACAACAACACGGACACCCGCACGGTTGCTGCGCCGTACTTCTTCTAGCACTACGACGCCGCCGGCTACACGACGTTCTGGTGCCGCTACAAGTACAACGAGGACAACAAGATGCAGTTCATGACGGCCAACCTGATCCGCGGGTGGTTCCAGCGCATGGAGCACGTGCGCAAGTACGCGTTTGGCGTTGCACTCATCATTGGGGAGAAGAGGCGGCACGACATTGTGGCGCTGTGGGTGTTCCGCGGCCGGGGCATGCCGGCGATTGTGGAGGACGTGGAGGACACGGAGCTGTTCGACTGGGAGGAGGTCGCTGACGTCGCGGCGCAGCGGGAGCGCATCACGGACTACCTGTGCTGGGAGGGCCCGACGATCCCGAGGCCTGTGCTGGAGGGGCGTGTGTTCAAGTGAGCGTGGCGTGCTGGTGAGGGTCTGAGAATAACGGTAATAGTAACTGTGGGAGTGTGAGGAACGGGGTATTGGCGAGGAGCACTTCTTCTTTTTTGTTTTGATTGTTGTTGAACTGCACCCACTCAATTGTTGTTGTTATGGTGATGCGCGTCTCTCGTATATGAAGGGTAATTGTTGTGGCGTGCCTTTTTCTTTTATTACTGTTTGCTTTTCTTTGTTTGTTGTGAGTCATTTATTGTTTTCTTTCCTAACCTTGTGTAAGGAATATTTAGCGGTTCTGGGGGAGCAGGTCTGATTGTGACGAATTCACTTTTTTAGGGTGGTAACTTTTCTATTGCGTTATATTGTTTCTTGTGGCCTTTCGTTGGAGAGAATTTGAGAGGAATTAGTGGCAAGTACGGGGAATGGGGTCGCCAAAGTTTATTTTCGCCGCGGCAGCTGGGGCTGCTGTTGTGGGCGCCGCAGTTTACTTTGTGGTACGGCGGGGACGAATGGATAAGGGTGGAGAGGATGATGACGCCTTCGATGGGCCTGTCGTCAGGAATGGAGAGGTGGCGGTTGCAAGCAAAGCGGATAATGGTTCAACCAAACTTCACGGCAACGCTGCCACCGCCACCACCCCTGGAAGCAATGAAAGGAAGGAGGAACCTCAGGTGCGGGTCAAGGCCGGGGATGTTTCTTCGGTGGAAAACAAGCTATTGGCGGAGGCTTTAAATGAGATTGATATGCATGATGCAGCTGATCGGACAACAAATTACGGAACCGGCACGAAGAGCTTTACCATTAATAAGACCGGTGATAAAGAAAAGGAGTTTCCACTTCTAGGTTTGTCAGTGAAGTTGACAAATGACTGGGAAATACGGGAAGATCTTTCCCCTTTTCCGAATGTGGCGATGCTGGTGGTGTTTAATAAGGATATGAACCCTGAAGATGCACAGCAGCAGCAGCACCAAGAGGCTGGGTCGGTGCCGATGATTGTGATATCCGTAGAGGATGTCCGAGGGGACAATGTTGATCTGGTTGAATTTAAGGAACGCTGTAAAGAACTTGCCATGAATCAGATGCTCATGATGACTGGTGGAGCCATTCAACCCATAATAACAAAGGACTCCGCGGTGCAAGAAGGACCATTCCGTTACGCCTTGGAGTACGCACAGTCCCTTCCACCTTTGTATGAAATCAAGGTTCTGAATTTGATGGAGGTTCGAGACAGCATTGCGTACACGTTTCAAATTATGTGTGCGCCCAATATTATGCCGAAGTTTAAGCCTACATTTATGAAAATGGCTCAGGGTATGCGGATCAAGGAGAATATTGAGACTTCCCTGGGATATGTGGAGCTGCACACGGGTGAGGTGAAAGTGGATATTGACACCACTTGGGGCTGGGAATATCCGGGCAAGAATGGTTCACTTGCCACATTCACCACGTCGTCGAATTTTAAAAAGGAAGAAATCAGCCTGTATAAACAGGACGCGGTCCCTGATTCAGCGTATAAACCACGTGATGAAAAAACTGTTAATGGTGTTGTTATTGTCTCTGCGTTTGATGGTGCACAACAGCAGAAAATGTTCACCTACAATGGTTATACATTGGTTGTAAAGCCACTGCAAAAGTCCAATTCACATCTTGCTGAAAAAGACCTCATGGCTGTTCTGAAGTCTGTTACTCTTTCATCGTTGCCTCCTAAACCAAAGAAGGGTGGCACGTTTGTGAATGCCGAGCACGGCTATAAGGTGGATATTTTGAGTGGTAGTCGTCTTGTGGCGAGCCGCATTGGCGGTGGCTCCGTCGCCTACGCCCCGCACAGCATAGGTGAAGGGACTGCCTCTGAAGAGCAGCCACCTGCCGTCACAATTCGTGTGGGTACCCCTGAAGGCGATCCTGACTGCATGGGCTCCTTGGATGAATGGATGGCTCGGATGAAGCGGGAGGCAGCAGATAGCGACATTAGGGAAATTAAGAAAACGACCATTAACGATGAGCCTTGCCTGACGTTTGTTTCGCAAAACATGGAAGAAATTGCACCAGGGCAGCGAATGGAAGTACGTGGGAAGGTTTTCATTTTTGTTCGTGACGGTAAGACGACGCTGGTACGATGGGAGATGGCGGTGGGACTTTGGAGGAAATTTGAACGGGAGATGAATGCCTTTGTAGAATCCTTAAGATTTATTTAATAAAAGGCAGAAAGGGAGGGGGTAAAAATTTCTGCCCGCTGTGTCTGTGTGTGTGTGTGTGGGAGGGGCAAGGGGGTTTCGATGATCGTTCGGTGCTGTGGTATAATGCGTGTTTCCAGTCGGCACACATAAATGTCCAAAGGGAGCGGAGAAGACAAACTGAAACACACACACACAGAGACAGAGACAGCGAGCACAATAAAATAAAATAAAAGACACACAAAAAAAGAAGAAAAAAAAAACAAAAACAGAAGACGAAATTTTTATCAGAAAACTCCAGTAAAATAAAATAAAATAAAATAAATAAATAAATTATTATTATTATTTATATAAATGAAGGGAATAGACGATAAGATGAGGCGGCGGATGTTGGCGGAGGTTTTGTCTGCTGTTCTAAAGGGGGGCGGGGAAACGGAAATATCAGCAAGAGGGAGAGCATTGAAAGTGCCGGGAAATGAGGATTGAAAATTTTTTTTTGTGTGTTTTTAAAAGGGGGGCTGTGGGGGAAGAGAGAAGGAAAAAGAAAAAGAGAAGAACAACACAATGAGCGGAGAGGGAGGAAAAATAAATAAATAAATAAATAAATAAATAATATTTTTTTTTCCCTTCCCTTTTTCTCTCTGCGTGCATGTCTTATTTGCAGGAAGGAAGACGTACGGCGTTGCAGTCGCTGTGGCTTCACCCCCCAAAGGGCTTCTCTCACCAACGACTTTTTCATATGTACCTGCACCGACGAGCCTGCCATCTCAAATACGAAGTGATAAGATGAATAAATTGAACGAAGGAGAGAAGTAATTCGGCACTTGCATCCGTGTGGATGAGAGAAATGGGAGGAGGAGAGATGGTTAGGAGGGATAAGTACACACTCTGTTTTTTTTTGTTTTTTGTTTTTTGTTTTTTGTTGTTGTTGAACATGTGAGAAGCATCCCGCATTAATAATTAATTTGTGAAAGGAACGCATGTAAACATGCAGGAATTGAGAGAGAGAGAGAGAGAGGGAAAAGAAGGGTTGAAAGGGGGGATTTAGGTCCATGGGCAGAGGTATGTTCGTAAAAAGGGGGATTTCGTAGTAGTGGTGGTGGTGGTGTTGGTGGTGGTGGTGTGGGGAAGGGGAAAACTTTTAACGCATTCTGCTGCGTAAGATATGAGACACAAGAACAACGGGAAAATAAAAGGTTGGAGGGAATATTTTCTGCATGTCCGTGTGGTTGTTGCTAAGGCCATTTTCTTCTTATATGAACACCGTCCATATGTATATATATATATAGATAGATAGATTGATACACTTTTGTTTTTCTCTTCTTCTCTTTCTTTACGTATGTTGCTTTGCCTTTCCCCCGCTTTGTGGCGGAAAAGTAATATTATCAGTGCCGAATGCACCGCGGCAAACCAGTGGTGATCGCGCTGGATAGTGAGTTTCTCAAGACACATGGTCATGTGCTTACGAGAGCCGTGGCCTTTGTCCCCTTCTCGTCCAGAAAAGGAACTTCAGGAAGTGAGCATCAAGTTGATGGCAATGTCGCGGCGACAAGTACTTCTCTCCATTCTTCCTTATCGCCGTCATTGCCGGTACCGAAGCGGCAGGCATTTCGGCGAGCAACAGTATTTGGAGTTCCCATCATTCTGAACCTCGATCCTGCCGAGGTGATGCGCCGGGCAGACGTTCTTCCTTGTGGGCACTCTCTCGCACTAGAAATGCGCACGGGGTTGGTAAGTGGAGAAAGGCTCAGGACTCTGCAGGAGCGACATGCACGATCCGACAGCAAAGCTTTTTTGAAGAGGACGGAGGAAGCGACGACGACGACGACGACGACAAAGACAACAACAACAACATTTTCAGGCAATCGTGCGTGGCATTTGGAGTTCAACTCTCTTTGTCCCTACAGCATTCCGAATATTCGACGGGCCGATCATTCGTGGTTTAAAGCAATTTACTCTGCTTCCGTGCATTCATCGGAGTTTCGCGGGGCGGCCATGTGTTTAGATCATCTGAAAGCGTATGGTAAAGGAAGACGTCAGGAAAGATCCTTATCGTTTTTGTTACGACATCACCCAACGCTCCTACAAGAAATACTGCGGGTGTCTTTTTCTTCTGCCGAGGCGTGGTGTGCATGGCTAGTGATGTGTGGGGATTTGGTAGAGAAGGAACTGCGTCAATTAGCCGAGAAATACCGTCAGATGTCGTCATCCCCCTTTACTCCATCGATATGGATGGAGTACGATCCAAGCTATAAAGGTGTGCAGTATAAAGAATGTGGGAACATGGAGGAATTTTCTTATGAGTTAAGTCGTCTCTGGTATATTCTACTACGTCACGGTGGTGAGGTTGGTACGAAGCTGTACACTTACGGTGACATGGATGCGAAAGCCATACAAAATACTCTGCGACTAAGTTGCTGCATGAAAACTCGATATTCACCTCGGGCATCGCAAAGTGCCCGGTTGCGTTCCTCACCCTCTCAACTTACTGGAGCGGATGAAGCCAGTAATAATAAAAGTGACAGCCAGGATGTATTGACCCCGCTGCAGCCTGAATCGGGTCAAATTCTCACTTCCCCGTATGAGGCCAAAGTGGTAGATGTCACACGGCACACACTTTTTGCCGCGTCCGGGTTTCGCACATCGCCAAGAGTCATTCCACCGTTGGGTGATGCTTTAGAAAAGGCTGCAATTGTCGATGAGGCCGCCGTGCGTTTACGCTCGCAAAGTGATCCACACAATCCTGTATGGGACGCGAAGGCTCTTGCGTGTATCACCGTTGCCTGTGGAATTTGTCTGGGGTGACGTGGCTTTTCTCTTGTTGACGATGTTTTGCGTTGTTTTTCTCTCTGATTGTGCGTTTTGGTGTATTTCATTTAAAAAGGAGAAGCAACTGGAAAAAATCAAAAAAGAAATAATAATAATAATAATAATACGTTATGGGGAAAAGACTGAGAGATAAGAGAGTTACATAGATGACATAACTTTGCATGTTTGCTCATGATATGAATGTGTACAGTTTCTCTTTTGTTTTTGCCTTTTTTTCCCCCTCCTCCCTCTCTGTTTCTCTCTCCCTCTAGGTGTTTTTGGTGTTGTGATATGTACAGTGAGCACTGCGTTCAGTGCCTGCAGTTACTTTTAGCGGAGGGTTCAGCATTGCTGAATAAAGAAGGGTTCTCACCAATCATCACGAATTTCTCAGCCACAGACGTTCCATGCGGAATTTAAGGGGAGCGGCGACAAACCGCGACGATGTCGTCACGTAAGTGCATGCATGCATTAGTTGGCGTCTCAAAGACCCAACAGATGCCAAGCCAGGCAAATTTGGAGAAAAGGGAAGGGACATCTCCGTGTGTGTTTGGGGAAACATTCGCATCTACGAAAGGTTTAAACCAAAGCCAACTGGAAAAAATTAATAATAATAATAATAATAATAAAAGAAAAGGCAAAAAGAATATGCATATAGGATACCCGTGCATACATTGATAGATTGGGATGAAGTGTTTGTGGCATTTCCAAAAACACACACACACACAAACACAAGCTTTTCCCACACAAAGCGCAACGCCATCGCAGGCCAACGCATCATCTTTCTTATCCGTATATCAGATGCTGTCTCTTTATAAGCCCGAATCAGAAGTCAGAAGCAAAAAAAAATTTGCAGCATCCACCTCCCCACGGTGCAGCACGCGGGTAAGACGTGAACCCCCCACACTTTGGCCATACCCGGCCCTCGGCATCTATTAACCTTACGGTTTCGCCGAAAGTAATTCAACCGAAAATAATAATGATAATAATAAGCTCGCCCCCCCAAAATGCAAGCTATAGAAGGACTGTGACCTCACCAAGGTCTTCACCGTTGTTCTCATTATTTATGCATTCTGCCTTTGGTGCCCCCATTCCGCTCACTTTTTCTTCCACTAAAGGGAAAAGAGCAAATTCAATACCTGAGTCAGATCGAAAAAAAAAAAAGAAAAAGAAACCCTGAATTCACACCGAGGATTCGGCATGGGCGATCTTCCTGGAGATGTTTGGTGCGACTAAGCTTTTAATATTCACAGACATGGCCACTTTTTCTTAGGAATCAACACATCAAAAAATGGAGGAAAAAGGTGGACGAGTAGGGGATCGAACCCTAGGCCTTCCGTATGCGAAACGGACGCTCTACCACTGAGCTACACGCCCAACAAACACCACATCCTCCATTTCATACCGAGAAAAAACAATATAAAAAAAAAACAACGCTGACGGGGGTCGAACCCGCAACCTTCGGATCCGGAATCCGACGCGCTTCCATTGCGCCACAACGTCCGCGCGGAGGCAGGTCGATCAAAGAAAAGACAAGAAATAACTGCAAAATTAAAAACGTTTTGAACAATTTTTTTTTGCGCACCCAAAAACTTCAAAGAAACCGTGTGGCCGCGATAGCTCAGTTGGGAGAGCGTCAGACTGAAGATCTGAAGGTCCCTGGTTCGATCCCGGGTCGCGGCATAAGTTTTTCCCAAACTTTTTTATTTTTTCATGGACGAGAATTGAAAAAAAAGGAAACAAAAAAAACATAACAGACGAACGCCAGCAGCACCGATCCTGGGCGATGTTGCCGTTGTTTTTCCGCGTGTTTCTGCCACGGCGTCCTCTGGGAAAAGCGACAAAGACAAAGAGGAAGCCGCAAGCGCCAACAACACACCGCAAGAAGCAAGCATTTTTCGGTAACCTCGCGGATGTGGGGATTTATGCCCTGCAACGGGCTCTGGAAACGGCAATCTCTTGCGAAACCGTGGGGCGTTAGTTCATCCAGGACTGCAAAAAAGCCCAGCAGCCACGCTGGCCGCGACCGCGAAACAAGGCGTGCGGGAAAAAAAAGGGCATTGTGCGGACGCTACTGCCACCCGTCGAGACGCCGATTTCCGCGCCGCAAAGGGTACCACGACGCGAATTTCCCGCAGAATAGTTGGATGGAATGCGGGTTTCCATATAACGCTAGGGCGCGCACGAAAAAAAAAAAAAAGCCTATTAGGAAGGCATCGATCACTGCAAAAATGTTTACCACCACAAAGCCTTGCAAAAGACATTGCCAGAAACGCGCCCTGCCATTGGAAGCTGCTTCTCCCGTGCCCTGATTATCTGATGGTTAACCATCCCGTCGCGGTAACAGAGTCACTTTTTCGCAAAACACGGACACAATTCCATGGTAAGCCAAAAATACAGCAGCGCTTTCCCCACAGAACGGTTGTTGGCACATGGCCGAACGCATAGAACACCGCCCAGAAAAAAACACGTTCTGCTGGGGCGCAGCTGCCACACCATAAAGCCCGTAGGCGCGAGTCACCGCAACGCGCGCCATACAATCGATTCGAGAGAAATAAGGAAAATAAGTGACATAATAAAGAACCGCGCTCGCCACGGAAGGGGTGGTGCACAAACGGTGCGGAGGCAGCGTCCAGCTCCGTTGCCGAAAAGTCGAGCCACATGTCCACCTGGCTGCCCTCCAGCGGCGTGCGGCCGTACAGGAAGCCGCCGCTCCGGTCAAGGCGCGCGATGTGGCGCAGGATGGCGTCGGACTCGAACACACAGCCCTCCTTCGTCTGCAGCACGGGGTAGCGGCCGCACGGGCTGCAGTTGCGGCAGTACTCCGCCGTCTCGTTCTCGCGGCCGTACTCGCACGCCTTCAGCGTCACCGCAACGTTGGCGAGGGCCGCAGCAGCCAGAAGCTTGTGCGTGCGTGCGTTCTCGGGGTTCACACCGCTCCGCAGCGTGAGCGACATGGCGTATGTGTGCTTGTGTGTATTTTAGTGTGCCGTGTGTTTTTCAGAGCTTACAGTTGCAGAGCAGCTGCACGGCACAAGAGGAGCAAGAGAAGGCAACGGCAAAGAGATACAGATAGCACACAAGGAGATTACTCATATCGTCACACACACACACACAGCCCGCGGAATGAGTAAAACCAACCACAAAACAAGTAAAGCAATAAAAAATAAGATAAAGCGTGGGGCAACCAGCACACACACTCTCATTGCTCCCGTAAAGCAAAACACACACACAAGGAAAGAGGGAGGTCGCCCACTCAAGGCAATGGAAACGAAACAAAAACAGTTACGGTGCTCCGTCCATGCAGCCAGGCAGGACGGCAGCGGTGCGTGTCGTGCAAAAGAGAGCACCAACGGGCCTGCATGGGTGTGCATGCATACATACAATGGGCACATTATGTGTGTGCCTCGTGGGGTGAGGTGACGGTGAGGGGTTAAGACACATTATTGAGGACAATCATAAGTGTATCATCAATTACGCCTAGTTGTCGTGTGCCGTTATGACTGATTCTTCTATTCATGGTCGAATATGTTTTGAGTTCTTTCAAACCCCTGTTACTCTAATATTACTGGAGGAAAATGGAGGAGGAAGCCTTCTTGTCATTATGCGGGCCGAGGTGCTCTCTGTGCGCAGCTTGTTTTTGGTTGCCTTTCCATTTCTCGGTCCACTATCGACATGTTGGTGACAATACTTTGCTGCAAGGAGCGGCGAATAAAGGCAGCTCGAAATCACACGCCTTGACGCGGGAGCCGCAACGGAAAAATGAGTTTTTGGAGTCTCGCGGGATACAGGCATCCTTTGCCTACGTGGTGTCAGCAGAAAACCCCGCAGACGGCATACCGCGTGGTCGCGTGTTTACACTTCAGGACTTGGCGAAGGGAAGCGGCGGGGTCTTGTGGCAGGAGGAGTCCAAAGTTTGCCACTTCGTGAGTAATAATATATCTAGTACTAACAAAGTACATCGTGTCATGACAGTGGCAGTCCGAATATATATTCTTGGAGCAGACACTGAGGAGGTGGCGAACCCACGGCCTCCCTATTTAACTTTTCTCTTCATCCGTCATGTTTGACTTCTTTAGATCATTTCAGGATCCGGCCAGCAGCCCAGCCCAATATTGCTTTGTATAGGCGGTTGTGGGTTGTTATCTTTGCCACTGGGACGTTTGGCATGCAGCAAACTGCGTTAGGCGATTAATAGCTATTTGCCTCTATACGAGCACCTGTGAAGGGCGTTTGTGCTCTGGTTGCCGGAGCTTTTATTGCGTGCGTGACGTCGGCGGTTGCTTGTTTATTTTCCATTATTTATTTATTTGTATTATCGTGAGGCGCTGTTTTGCTCGATGGGGCGCAGTGTTAGGAAGGAGAACTGTTTGCGCAAACTGGCGTCACGCCGTGCGGTGCGCTTATTGGGAGAACAGCGGCTCTGTTGAACAAATGTTCAACTTGACGGCAAAATACTTTTGTCGGGATGCCGGTGGTAGGAAAAGACATGCTTAGCCCAACACCTGAAAAAGAGTGGCACCATTATTTTGAGTAGAATCCGCTTTTGGTTTAGAATTTATGGCCATGAGGGTGTAATTTCCTCTTCGGCAAAAATGGAAATGAAAAGCGACGTTGTTGAACTCAACAATAGTCCTTTAATTGTGTAGCTCCTTGTTGCATTGTTTCTCGGCAGCGGGGGATCATCGTTCCACCGTGCTAGCTCGGTGGCATGGCGTATCGTGCGCGTTTCACGCCCTCTCCTGGGCCGGGACCTCCTTTTACGTTTCCACTCGGCAGGGCGGACGTGCTCGAAGACGGTGGCCGGCTTGTGGGTTATGGGATTTATTTGGAAAGAAACACGATGAACAAGCAACAGAAAAGCAATGGACCCCCATATTTAGCACTCGATTCTGGAAATTTACATTGCGTTTCATCGATTTGGAAAGTTGGTTTATGGAACTTGTCTTGGCGACACGAGCTTGGGATTCTTGCACGTGCCGCATGCTTGAGGAATGGGCGTGTGGAAAATAATTCTTTCCCGATCTTATACATCGTTACCGGAGGCATGGCGTTTTCAAGGCGCGGATCCACGTTGCCTGCCGATGCAGCCGATGAAAGGCGACACACGCATGGAGCCCGCTGGAGAAACCGCTGTTGAAGTGAGTTCGGGCCGTTTTCCACCCACCGAGTGAATTTCGATCTCTTTTCTCCTGCCCATAGATGCGGGTTTCAGCGAGAGACTTTTTTCTGTAATTGAATACCTATATGGGTGGTGAACTCTCCTTCTCCAGCGCACACGGTTATGCCCTTTTTACCATATATATGGAGAAAGAGAGAGAGAGGGAGGCTCTGTGTTCAGGTTACGAATGGGAATGCGAACTGGAAAAGAAGACACTGTGACCCTCTTTCTACGAGGTCCCCACAACCTTATTATTACTGCATGGTTTATTCTCCCCTTTTCTGAGGGGCTTCCTTCTGCCCTTTAGGGGAAAGCATACAATCAAACATAACATGAACGAAATTATTACTCGCTTCTTTAGTTGTTCCTCACACTGTAAGCCTGAAGTTCTGGGCCGCATCCTTCATGACGTCGAGAATTTGTGTAACACCTTCCATTTCTACTGTCGTGACGCCACTTGGGAGTGACACAACAGGAAAAACTTTGCATCTATGGTGGGCTTCCTATTACTATTAAGAAGAGCAACAGCGACCACACTTCTTTAACCCCAGACAGCCGTGAACAGGCGCCACCAAATCTTTATGTCTTGCCCTTGCAGATATGGCTGACGCACTTGTACCCCATTGAGCCTCCTCTGGTGTTTCTCCTCAGCGCGGAACAAGGCTGCAGGATAGCGAGCAACCACAAATACGTTGATGCTACCGGACGTTGTCACACGCCGGAGCTAGCAGCATGGCATCCAGTTTCATCCTCACTTTGTGATGTCGTCAAGAAGCTGTGCCAGTTGCTGTCAGCTGAAGGCTCAATCCCGCTTTGTTTTGGTGAAGAAGGCGTCAGCTCACCCTCAAAAGGCCATGCGACAGCAGTCTCACAGCGATTGCGTCATGGATTAGAAAATGGTGACGATGATAAACAGACGGATGAGCATGAGAGGTGCGTGGTGTGCTTTCTCCCAAGGAAACGGTGCTCGTTCCATGTGGACATTATTGCCTATGCGATGCATGCGCAACAGATGTGACTCATTGCCCTCTGTGTCGTGGGTCGGTCAAGTTCCGTCAGCGTGTGTTTTCATGACAGTCAAGGGGTCGTCTAGTTGAAGAGAGACAAGAGCCGAGACGCCACAAAGTACTATCGGAAGTTATTCACGCAGTGAAACGATCCCAAATGGCAATGGCACACCAGTAAAAAAAAGAGAAACATCCGCAGTGATATGTTGTCTTTGTCCGCTGAAGCCTTGACAATTGCAAAGGACTTCCCTGAATTTCTCTCAGGCTCCTTTGGTGTAACTTGGATTTTATTTTCCGCATTCATTCGAGGCAAAACAACAGTGGACCGCTAAGGCATCGTTCTCATTTTGGTTGATGCCAAGCATTTGGACCGCCCCAATCGCATTGCCACCCGCAACCAGCGTCTCTGGGAGGTGGCGGGCTGGTGACGAGACGTCCCCGCCGCCCGGGCACACGCGCAGCACACGTGTCCTCCCATGAGAGGGCGGCGTTTGACACGGAGTGGGGCCGACATGATGGCACCGCGCCTCCCATGGGCCGAAGCGCGGCGGCGAAATGAAACAAGGAGGAGGGGAGACGCGGAAAAGAGGGAAGCGCGGCGGCCAGGCAGAACGGAAGAAAAAGCCCTTGCGGCGAAGGAACGCCCCGCGAGCGGGAGGAAAAAGGCCGTCACGGGCAAGCTCCCTCCTGCGGCGCGGCCATTTGTTCCACCCGGGCCACGAGGCGTCGCAAAACGCTTTTCGCTGGCGGATCTCACGAGCAGCTGGAGGCATCAAGTATCCTCAAACAGCGCTCACCGAAGTCTTCGCGGAGAAGTTATAGGAGCCGCCCCTGGTGAGAGTGTCTTCACGAAGAACCTCCTCATTCATTGCCTAGTTTTTCCTCCCGGCTATGCCGATTCCGCGGACAACGATTCCGACGGTAGCCACAAGGGAAAAGAGCAGATTTACGTTCAATTTGTGTTGGCAAGAAAATGTCCGTCACCGTAACCTTCTCCACTGCAGCACCAATCTGCCCACAGCCGCCGATTTGGGTTTCCAGAAGATCGTCTGTTTCGACGCCGTGGGAGTGCGTGAGTGCTATCCGCTTTTCTCTCCGCCGTTGCTTTCTTTGGACGCTCTTGTGCCGGACAGCCGCCCTGCAAGTATAGGCAATGACAGACACACAAGCACATGTAAATACGCACAGACACACGCACACACAAACACACGCCACGTCGTACATGCTTTGGAGCGGCGTGAACGCTGAAAACGCACGTACGCACAAGATTCTGGCTGCGGTGGCTTTTGCGAGGAGGGAAAAAAGCCTGCATTTCATTTTTCTGACATGTTGCTGGTGTGGTGTTGGCGGCATGCAGCCGATTGGGTGGTGTGTCATTGAGGGTGCCTGGGGTACGTGCGTATCGCCTCCCGCCCAGCAGCTGCACGTGCTGCCTTCTCTCTTTTGCTGCTCATCGGCCGATGTGGGATTCTTCGCCTGTGTGGGGTGATGTGCGCCAGCGGCGGAGCGGGTGCGATGGAGGGACAAGAATTGAACGACGGGCGGCAGCGTGTCGGTGTTTCGAGGACTGTCGTGTCCTTTTGCCTCCCGCTGGTTGTTATCGTGTGTGGGTGTTGCTCGGTGTGTGCTGTCTTGTAAATAACGACACACCCGCCGTGACTCCTGCTGCTATTGGTGACAGTCGCTGTGTGTTCCCGGTGCACTGTTCTTCCTTCTCGTTCCGTGTGTCTGTGTGCGTGAGTTGTTGTTGTTGGGGAGTGACTGCGGCGGGGATGATGGTGCCACTCACTGTGGATGGGTGGCGGTGTGTTTCACTTCTTTTTCCTCTTTTTTATTAGCCTGTTTTCTTCATTTCTTTCACTCTCTCACGAAGAAAGCAAACAAGCGCTAAACGCTACTGTGAAATTCGAAGGCACCAAAAGGACCAACAGCACACACACCGCCCACACACACATATTTATATGCTCTCACGTGTTGCTGCTGTGAAGGCACCCCGCACACACAACCGTCGCCGCGTGACCGGATCCAGCGGAAGGAGGAGGGAAGGAAGAGAGAGTGAGCCGCAGAGGCCCAACATGTCCCGGCGTGTGTTTACTTCCGCGGTGCTGCTCCTCCTCGTGATGATGTGCTGCGGCATTGGAGCTGCGGGAGTTGCGGAGCAGTCAGATGAAGCGAAGTTTAAATGGAGAGCCGTCACTGATGGTGAAACTGTGGACTCGTTGGGTGTTCCAGCTCTTGTTGAGGTGAATGGTAAAGTGTTTGCCGTTGCCGAGGCGCAGTGCAAGAAGAAGGATAGTGAAACCAGCGTTTTTACTGGCATTGCATCCCAACTACTCACCATAGAAGACGGTAAAGAACCGGAGGAATTTTCTAGTGACAAATTAAAGAAGACACAGATTCTGGAGAAAGGTGCTTCCGAAGGTCAAAAGAAGAAAGTAGATGTGAGCCGACCAACAACTGCTGTGAAGGAGAGTGATATTTACATGCTTGTTGGACAACACAGCAGTAAAGATTCTCAGAACAGTGGTGCAGGTGGCTGTGAACTTTTGCTGGTGAAAGGGAGCGTCAGTGGTGAGGGTACAAATAACAAAATTGACTGGAAGGATACCGAAAGTTCCCCGCAAAGACTTTTTGGCGCACAGCTCGATTCCTGGACAAGGCTCATTGGAAGCGGTGGATCGGGTGTTAAGATGAAGGATGAGACTCTTGTATTTCCTGTGGAAGGCACGAAGAAGCCGGTTGGCACTGAAGAGGACGGAAAGACTGTCTCACTGATCATATACTCGAAGGATGCTACGAATTGGACGCTGTCGAAGGAGGTGCCTGACGGTGGCTGCAGTGATCCCTCCGTCGTGGAGTGGAAGGGCGATAAACTCATGATGATGACTGCGTGCGATGACGGCCGCCGCAGGGTGTACGAGTCCGGTGACAAGGGGGATTCGTGGACGGAGGCACTCGGGACACTCTCCCGCGTGTGGGGCAACGAACACGATAAAAACGTGAAACCCGTTAGAAGCGGGTTCATCACAGCGACGATTCTTGTCGATGGTGAAGATGATAATAAGAAGAGAACTGTGATGCTCGTTACTCTGCCGGTGTACCCCGAGAATGGAGAAAAAGGCGTCCTCCATCTTTGGCTGACGGACAATACGCACATTGTTGATATTGGGTCGGTATCCGATGATGAGGACGTTGCCGCCAGCTCCCTGTTGTACAAAAGTGGTGAAACTAATGAGGAGGAGTTGATTGCACTGTACGAGAAGAAGAAGGACGATGGGGAATTATCACTCGGTATGGTCTCTGTGCTCCTGACTGCGCAGCTGCAGCGGGTGAAGGAGGTGCTGGCGTCCTGGAAGGAAGTGGACAAACGTGTCTCCAAGCTGTGCCCCACTGAGAATGCTCTGGAGGACACCTCAACTGGCAATGCCTGCGGCGCTTTTAAGATCACGGAAGGGCTGGTTGGCTTTTTGTCCGGCAACTTCTCTGATGGCACATGGAAGGACGAGTACCTCGGGGTGAACGCCACAGTAAATAAAAAAGAAGGGTCGGCCAGCACGGAGAAGGGCGTGACTTTCACAGGGCGTGGTGCGTGGGCGGAGTGGCCTGTTGGCAAGCAAGAGGAGAATCAGCTGTACCACTTTGCGAACCACAACTTCACTCTTGTGGCGACGGTGTCCATAGACGGTGAGCCGACGAAGGAGGGTTCTATTCCATTGATGGGTGCGAAGATGGATGACGATGATAAGACTGTACTCCTGGGACTGTCGTACGACAAGGAAAATAAGAGGGCAGTGCTGTGCAGTGGCGGAAAGACCAGGGAGCACAGCAGCACTTGGGAGTCACAGACACAGTACCAAGTGGCCATTGTGCTACAGAATGGCGCCCAGGGCTCCGCGTACGTTGATGGTGAACATGTGGGAAATGTGCAATGCGAATTGGGAAATACGGATTCTAAAGGGATTTCTCACTTCTACATTGGATGGGATGGAGTCAATGCAGGGAGCAAAGAAGAAGTGTCTGTGACGGTGAGGAATGTCCTGCTGTACAATCGCCCGTTGACTTTCGAAGAGATTGACGCCCTCAACCCGAATAAAGCCTCCATTTCACCTCCTGAAGATCTTACCGCAGCGGTGGTGGTGGATACTCCTTCGACAGTGGTGAGCGGACCAATTGCACAGAAAACCGTGTCCGTGTCCACTCCTGGCGGATCCACGGTGAATCATGAGTCGAGCGCAAGCTCTGCTGAGGATGAGGAGACGGTGGGAGGAACGGATGCGCAGAAGGAAGAGGTCCAGCCACATGACGGGGAAGTAAATGCCACGGCACTCAACAGCAGCCTCGGAAATGTGTCGCAGGGGAATAACAGCGATGGCGGCAACATGCGTGGGAGCGGACTGCCATCGCCGTTGCTTCTGTTGGGACTGTGGGGGTTTGCGGCTCTGTGAGGAGTGACTGGCTGCCGCGTGGGAAAATTGAGACCTCCAGCAACGAACTACTTTCCCGGGAAAGAATATTTTTGATACTTTTACTTTATTGTGCATATTTTAAATTTATTTTAATGTTTGCTACTTTCTTGTTTTAAAATTCTTTTTTCATCTTTTTCCAACGTCCCCACACCCCTTTGCTTTGTGCTTTTGGGGCAATCACTGTGGACGCTTTTCTTTTCTACTCTTCCCTCTTTAATTGTTTGTTGCTGCACTCTTCCTGTGAGGGGTGCCGTGTGTTTCCGCCCAACTGCTCCACTTGCACACCCACCGACACGCTCATGACGACGGCCCTGTGCGCCTCGCCTGCTGCACGCATGAGGCGGGGCCGCGACGAACGGCGCGCTGAGGGAGCCGTGACGTGTGGGCGTGCGACGAGGGCGTGTGGGGCGGAGCACACATTTCTTCCCTCTTGTTTTGCTTTTCTTTGCGGCCGGGGCGGGCAGACACCCGCAGCGCCACACACACAGCCACACCCTGCCGCCGTGTTTTTTTTTTTTTTGCTGCGCTCACTCTCCCGATGGAGTGACGCGACCGCCGTCATGTCTGCGTGCTTCTCTCAGTCCCCACACACGAGTGACTGTGCTCTGCGGGCCGCACTCACGCGCCGATGGGAGGGCTGAGGGGAGCAGCAACACGCAGACGACCCCGTGAAATATAAACGATGTGCGGACACACGGAGGGTCGGACGGTTGAAAGACATTTAAATATCTTTTAATTTTATTTTGCGGGCAAAATATATGCAGACAGTTCCTGGAGCAAGATGGTGGTTAGGTGCTTTTTTTTTGTGTGTGTGTGTGTTTTACTTTTCTTTTTTTTTACTTTTTTATTATTTGGGTGTGGCCGTAATAAAGGACAACTTTTTTCATTTTGTTTTTTTCTTTTTTCTTTTTAAAGTGTGAGTTGTGGAAGGGTGAAGATGAGTTTTTTTATTTTCATTTAATTTTTTAATGAATTGCCGCTGCTTTTTCTGCAGTGTAATATTATGAGTTTGAGCAGTCTTCTTCTCTTTATTTCTGCCATGCACCTCCGCTGTACAGTTTTTGTTTGTGCGTCCCTTCACATGCTCTGCTCCTTTTTTTACTTCTTTGCCTCGTGTTTCTGCAGCCACACACAACCACATGCACGCACAAAATGCAGATTTCATTCGATTTGGATGCTTCTTTTGCAGTGCGTGCTGGTGTTTGCGTGTGGCTGCTGCTTCCTCCGTGGGCATGAAGGGAAGGAGGGGAGAGGGAGCGCGCACCGCGAGTCACTCTTCCTGCGGGTGTGATGTGCGCGGTGGGCTGCGACTGCTGTGGAGGGCCGCATCTCTTCGGTTTGCGCTTCTCCGCCGTTGTGCCGTGCGTTTGCGCATGTCATTTGTTATGCGCATGAGTGCTGGGCATGTTTTTCCGGAGCGTTGGGCGGCCGCCATCTGTCTATGGCGGTTTGTGTAAGTGGACACGTGCGGATGAGGGTCAGGGCGTATGGAATGAAGGAATTTCTTGAGAAAAGGGGAATTTGATTTGGAGGGTATTTGGACCAGATTCATTTGGCTGCGGTGGACACATGCACGACGGATGTGTTTCCGCACAATGGGGGAGGATGCGACAGGATTTTCCGAAGTGGCCCCTCAATGCAGTTTGGGTTTCATAGCACCGAGGCATAGTGTTCTTCCTGCAATGGCTGGTGACGGCCCCTAGTGGACCGGTGTATTTATGCTGCTGCTGCTGCTCGAGGAGGCGTAGAAGTGCGATTTGAGGTGGGCGGCGGAAGGGCCACACATCCCGCAGTGACGGTCGTCGTTGGCCCAGCGGGTGCCTCTGAAGGTTTTGTTGGATGCAACGTCCTTATGCCCGTCTCCGGATGGCGGCATCCCTGATGCAGCCAACGAACGGGGCTGGGAGCGACGGTGAGACGCAAGCACGTGTGGATGTTTGGAGCGGCCGGCGCACCGCACGCTGAGAGCATGGCACGGTGGGGGCCGGACCCAGAAAAGGGACACCGCGTGGGACGTCAATCTTCACTGCAGCGACCGCCACCGAATTCGGATTTGCTCGCACCTTCTGCGGTCCCTCTTCCTCCCCTCACTTCTGCGCCGAGGACTGTGTCGCGGGATCCGGCAGCGAGATGTTTGGCCGCAGGAACATGGCTCGAACAAATGATTTGTGGGAGGGGGATGTGCACTGCGACGAGAAGGAAAAAAATGTTGCGAGACGACCACCACGACAAGACCGGAGTGAAGTTGTGTTTTGTCCACTTGTGCGAGGGCAGCCTGCCACCTGGTCGGTTGGGAGGATTATTTTTTTTTTTTTTTGCGTCGTTGCGCTCTCTTTTTATTCCGCTGCGTTTTCTTGCGGACCTGCGAAGGGAGATTTGCAAGAAGTTCCTGCGAGGCGTCCGTGCCGTTGTCGGAAAGGCGGATTCCCCCGAAAAACGCTACCTTTTAAATTTGTTTTGGGCGGGGAGTTCCTGTCGATTCAACGCGACTTTGTTCTGCGGATTTGATGCGTGTGTTTCCGAGCGGTTCGATCTGTGCTCCCAGTCCACTCGGATGTGGTGCGCGTCGACGTGAAGGTGCCTGCCAGCCGTTTTATTGCCTCTCCGCTGTGGCTGCCGCCGCTGCCCTCCTCCCTTCCTGAGGTCCTGTGGCTTCTTGACAAGATGCTTTGGAGAAGACGTTGCCGCTCTTATCGTCCATGGTATTTTGATTCTGGTGTCGCGGTCAGGAGACATTGAACGAGAGGGTTTGCTGCCCTCTTGTTTTATTTGTCCTCTCTGCCTGACGGCCAGTTCTGTACAAACGTGCTCCTCGGCACCTCAGTTGGTGCTGGCGGGTCTGCTCACAGTTGTCACTGGGAACCGCATGCGCCAACTCTTCTCTGCTCCTTTTCAGTGTCGCGTTGTTTTATTGATTGACGGACGCCATTCTGTCCGGCGTGCCACTTTGATTGGATTGTGTGGGATTGCTCGCCGACGTCATCGGAGAAAACAAGCCGACTTTTCACGTGTTTAATTCCATCTTGCGCGCAGGTATTTTTTTTACGTGTTCCGTTGGGCACTCAAACAGCGAGGCGTCCGGAGCTATGCGTGCGTGGAATTCTTCCTGCCATGTGGACTGCGGGCATCACCGAGGGGCTGCCACCTTGACTCCGCAGAGTTGTTGTGTCTCTTCGCGGGGCTGGCAGGGAAATTTCGTGCAGCCTGCTACTGCTGGTGTGTCCTTAGATGATTTCACTCCATGCGAATAATGTGCTTCAGCGAGTGAGGGTGATGGTTGGGTTTGTGTGCACTCTGGTTCTGTTTGCTACTTTGTGCGGACACGCAACGCTTGAGTGGTGGGAAAATGGAGCGGGGCGATGCATGGCTGCGTCTCGCCCATCGTTCACTGCACGATGGTGTGGTGCACATTGTGGTGCTGACTCTGCGATGTCACTGCGGTCTCCTGTGCGGCAATGGTGGTGGGTGGAGGAGAGTGTTGACCCGCGGCGTGACGGTGGGATCGTGTTTTCCTTTTATTCTTTTTACTTCCCTCTGCAAAGGTGCACACTCATTACTAGTGTTAGTGATAGGGAAAACAGACAACGCGAATAAAACAAAATAAAATAGAAAACGAATATAATGTGGCGGTGTTGTGGTTGGTTGCACGTTGCGTTGCTGCGGAGGCGGTGGGCCTTGGCTGCTTTACAGACAGGCGTTGCAGTGCGGCTGCGTGGCGCACCGACCACCGAGCCGTGCGAGTGCCACGCCCAACGTCATTGGGACAGCGGGACGAAACAGCCGCGACTGTCCTTTGGAGCCAGCGGCACCTGCAGGCCGCAGTTGGGCGGTGCGAGTGGGATGCTTCACCACACGGGTGTTGTGATGGCACCTCGCCGTGGCTCTTGTGATGGTTCCGACGCTGCAGCTCGACATGTGGCGGGGAGTAGAGTGTGGCCGCAGTGGACCATGAGCAGCACCAACATGAGGCTGAACGAGTTCCTTTGGAATTATGTTGGCGGCAGGGCGGCCGTTGATGAAAGACTACAATGTGACGATGGAGATGTTTGTTCAGGAGCCGGATGATTACGCACAAGACCAGCGACTTCTTGAAGAAATTCTTAACCTCACTGCGCACCAAGCGCTGGAGGCCATTACTAGGCCTCTTCAAGAAGATGTGCTCTCTCTCGGGCAACGTAGGGACTATGAAAGAAAAGGATACGATCACTCCTCTTGCAAGGGGAAAACCAAACAGAGTACTCACGCAGGTACTGACAGAAGCGAGGCGGGAGGCAGCGGAAAGGCTAAGACGAACGCAAGAAATGAAATTTATCATTTCCACTAATATCGAGGAGGTACTGTTTAAAGGAAGAGTCCGCGTCAATGAAATGAAGCTGAACGACTTTCTTACGAGGGAACTGGGCGGTAGTGGCGTTGTGGACTCCAATCGGGATGTCTTGCTGGAGGAGTTTTTCAAGGACCCCACGAAGTATATCCGTGATAAAGGAGCATTGAACGAAATACAGGCATCCGGTCATTATTTGGGTATGAAGCGAGCTGTGAAGGGTGAAGTGATCTTCGATGAGGATATACGCAAGCTTTGCGATAAGGGTGTCGACAATCTACCGGGGTGGTCAATAGCTGCTGCGGAGGTAAAAGCAACTGTTCATAACTCCACTAAACATTTCTTGGATGCAGCCGCCGAGGAGGCGAGGTACCCAACGACGACGAGCGCACCGGAGAAACTGGAGGGATGCTACGAGTCTGTGCACAATGCGAGGTGGAGTCATGCGGTGGAACTTCCGGACGGCGTGGAGCGAATGAAAACGGGGACGGGAATGGGGGTGCATGAGGGGAAGCCAGAACAGTCATGGTCGTACAAGAAAGCTGACGACACTATCGAAGAGAATGACGCTGTGCAGCAATTCGGTGCGGCACCTCCCGTGTTGATGGTGCTCGCCTCGGAGAAGGGATGGCCGTACTCGTGGAATACGATACAGGATCTCTCTAAGGACGTTTTTGTGATCTGTGAGGTGGAGCGGGTGTGGCAGATCGTCAAGGGCGATTTAACCGCGTGGTTCAGCCCTCACGGTGGGAACGACTGCAAGCCCGAGCGACGTGTGTTGATTGGGACGCCCGGGATCGGGAATTCGGTGGCTGCCGGCTCGTACCTCCTCTACCAGCTGCTGCACTGCGATGCCAAGAAAAACCAAGTGGCAGTCCACTGTTTTGGTGGAGGAGATGCGTACGTGTCTGACAAGACCACCAGAGTGGTGACAAGATACGGCGATGAGGACATGTGCATCTTGGAGTTGAGAAGTTTGAGGGGGCATGGGAGGAATGTGTACATTATCTACGATGTGGCAAAGGAGGGAACGCCGCCACCGGGACATTTTGCGCCTACTTCTGGATGGGGCATGATTGCGGTGTCATTCCCAAAGGTAACCAACTATGATGAGTGGGCGAAGCAACTACAGGCCGCGCGAATCATCGTGAATTGCCCCGACGAGATGGATGTGAAGGCGATGTGCGCCTGGATGACGCGTGATGAGACTAAAGAGAAACAGGCGGAGTGCTGGAAAGAGGTCAAGAACACATGTATCTTTTGGGACCGATTCCACGTCACGTCTTTGATGAGGAGGCGTTTACGGACGCTGTGGAGCGGTGGAGTTTGCATTGCAATCGATCAACGAGGTAACTGCGAAAGAGCACTTTTCACGGGGAGGTGAGTCGCCATGGTGTTCTGAGGATCAGTCACACAAGGCTGTGAAGGTTGTTCGGGAAATATACGCAGGCGGTGTGATCCTTTTCAATGCACCGATATCTGCTTGCCTCGAGGAACGGACATTGGAACGCTTCCCAAGTGTAACAGAATAAAATAGCTTTTTGAAGCTGATGTTGGCGTCGAAGGATAATATTTTGCCGATATTTTTTGGATGGTTTGCTTTGAAATCGTTCACGGAGAGTGCCTTTGCCAAGGCAATGGCGACGAAGCTCACGGAGTTTGAGCCGCCAACAGGACGTCAAGCAAAGCCCTGCGTCTTGAAGTTGGCCTGAACTGCATCCCAAGGGAGATGAGGTTTGCTGCCGAGTGAATATGAAAAAACGATCCGTAAAATAAAGTACGGGGTGCCGTACAAACCATGGGCCGCAAACTTTCCGCTGGTAGACGGCTTTTTCTTCTCGGAGTCCAATCGAATGACGCTGGTTGGGCTGCGGATAACTACGGCGGGTGGGCGCCACACCACCGCCAGCACTGTGCGGCAGTTCACTGAGTGTCTGGCGGCATATTTTAGTGGTTGGGAGGAATTTTCCCGAGACATGTCGTGGGGGATTATTTATGTGCAGCACGCAGACAGCACGCCGATGGATGACTGGCGGAGATGCCTGGCTCAGCCGGCCACCTCAACGTGGTGCCAGGGTCTAGTACTCTTTGCTAGAGAGGAAGCTAAGCGCCTGCTGCCCATCCGCTGCACGCGGAGAGGCAGGAGGCGCCGCACAAACGGGTCGGAAGGGCACCAGATGGAGCCATTTACATGGCTGCCCGCGGAGCGGTATTTCCATCCGCTGCTGAATTCCATCGGCGCTTATCAGCGCTATACATACCGTTTGCGTGCCGTATGTGACGCGCAACGACAAAAGCTACTGCTAAGCGGAGACATTGAGCAGCACCCAGGCCCCATAGCAGTACTCCAGATGAACGTTTCTTGCCTCACGCCGTCAAAACTCGCAACATTAATGGCGCAAGGAGCAGACATAATAGCCATTCAGGAGACTTGGAAGTCGTCGGAGCAGATCGCCAGCATGCACACTGGAGATTACGTGCTCTATGCACAGTCGCGCATCGGCAAGGGAGGCGGTGTGGCGGTGCTTGTGCGGAAAACTCTCCGCTCCAAGCGTATACCTCTCACCATCCCCCAGCATGACACCAGCCTTGAAGTGGTGGTGGTCCAGGTTGCTCTGGACCAGAACCGTGATCTTGTTGTAGCGAGTGCCTATATGAGACCACCACCGCAAGTAACGCAATCCTTCAGGCGGTTAGTAAACTGCCTTCCAGCCTCGTCGCCGCTCCTGCTGTGTGGGGATTTCAACATGCATCACCCACAGTGGGAGCCATTCTTGGAGACTTCTCCAAGCGAGGTTGCTGCAGAATTTTTAGAACTGTGCACGGATGCGGGACTCACCTTGGTTAACACCCCTGGTGAGATCACGTATGCCCGTGGCACAAGAGAACGATCCTGTATCGATCTGACATGGTCAAAGCATTTGACTGTGTCGGATTGGTCAGCTTCCGTGTCGCCGCTTAGTGATCATTATATGCTGACATTTACGCTGCATCAGGCATTTAAGGATACCATACCTTCGGCAGCTAGGATATTCTACAGTTGGGGGAAGTGCAAGTGGGATTTATTCATCAAGGACTTCGACGCACAACTTCCGGCATACGACTATAAAAAGCAGTCCACCGGCATTAAAGCTTTCACGAGAGCGCTTATAACTTCGTATCGACGACATTGCCCCCGCGGCATGCACAAGGACGGTCCCAGGCTTTGGGACGACACTCTCATGGAGGCAGAGCGGATGGCTACCGACAGC